TCCAGCCCCCACCCATCCTGGTGGCCTCCACTGAACTCTCTTTCCACTTGTGTAGACCTCTTATACTGGATTCCCCAACTAAGGCCACAGTCCCAAGGTGCAGTTTCCCAGTGCCCACCAGAGGAGGACAATTCCCTCCCTGGACCTCTAAGGATACCCTTTCACCCAGCAGTTCTGCGGAGTCATGCCCCTTTTCCCACACAAACCTATCCGTGGTGACCTCTTTTTGGTGAAGCCACACAGGTGGCCACCCCCTTGTTGCAAGAAAGGTCATGGCTGGGGACACTGACCCCTCTGCTCTCTCTCCCCAGACTATGCCTTTGCATCCCCCAGCACTGGAATTGCACAGACCACCTTTGTGGGGATCATCATCTCCCGGGGAGCAGCTGCCTCTATCTCCTTCTTGTACTCCTACATCCTGCTTACCATGTGCCGCAACCTCATCACCATCCTGCGGGAGACCTTCCTAAACCACTACATCCCTTTTGATGCCGCCGTTGATTTCCACCGCTGGATTGCCATGGCAGCCCTGATTTTCTCAGGTGTGTGGGCTGCTGGTGGATGTGCTGCCCACAAACCACAGCTAAAACAAAAGGGCCAGCCCATCACACCCTGGCAGGACCGGGCAGAAGTTTGAAGACCCTGTGGAGACAGAGATGCCTTATAGTAGAGATGAGAAGGAATCTCCAGGTCCCTGGGGACATCAGCAGGGTCTGACACATCTCCATCCACATCAAGTGATGCTTCTTTCTCCCTGTTTTTGTCTCTCTCAGTGCTCCACACTGCAGGTCATGTAGTGAATGTCTACATCTTCTCAGTCACACCTCTCAGCGTGCTGTCCTGTCTCTTCTCCAATGTCTTCACAAATGATGGGTAGGTGGGATTTAGAGCAGAGTCCAGACAGAGTGTCCTGGGCATGGATAGGAATGAAAATGGAAACCAAGAGTTCATTCTGGTCACTCCATGGTGCAATCTCTTGTCCCTCTCCAGGTCACAGTTCCCACAGAAATATTACTGGTGGTTCTTCCAGACTGTTCCAGGTGAGAACACCTAGCAGATAGACCTGCACACCTTTATGTGGATGGGCAGCCCCCTGCCCAGCCCAGGTAGAGCCCCTGTAGGAGTCTCCTGTTCCCCCTAGGACATTCCAGAGTTTCCTCTAACAGGTATGACAGGAGTGTTGCTGCTTGTGGTCCTCGCTGTGATGTATGTGTTTGCCACCTACCACTTCCGACGCGTCAGCTTCCAGGGTTTCTGGATCACTCACCACCTCTATGTGCTGCTCTATATCCTGGTAAAGGATTTGGGCTGGGAGGGAGGAGTGGTGCCAATGCACTGTAAACCTGTGGGTTGTCAATGCAGCTATTGAGATGGAATAGCTGTGATGGTTGCAAGGGAGCTGGCGGCCCCAGTCCTGCCTCCCTGCTGCTGCTGAGCTGCCACCAGATCAGTCCCTGGGGCAATGACTTGCCCTTTTCATGGGTTCTGTTCCCTGCCTAGGTCATTATCCATGGCAGCTACGCACTGATCCAGCAGCCCCGTTTCTACATCTACTTCATTATCCCGGCTCTCATCTACAGTGCAGACAAGCTGCTCAGCCTGAGCAGGAAGAAGGTGGAGATCAGCGTGGTGAAAGCCGAGCTCTTGCCCTCAGGTACCACAACATCCCTGGCCACAGGGCACCAGCCCAGTCTGGGCTCTGCAAGAGCATCAGGGGTTCCAGTGATAGAGGAGCCTCCACCTCTCAACATCTCCACCTTACCAGAGCCACCATCCCTCTCTCCCCACAGGTGTCACCCACCTCCAGTTCCAGCGGCCACAGGACTTTGACTACAAGTCTGGGCAGTGGGTGCGCATTGCCTGCGTGGCCCTGGGCACCACTGAGTACCACCCCTTCACCCTGACCTCGGCACCACACGAGGACGCACTGAGCCTGCACATCCGTGCTGTGGGGCCCTGGACCACCCGCCTGCGGGAACTCTACTCCCCAGAGAACCTGGCCCTCATCGGCAAACTGCCCAAGGTAAGCCCTGCACAGGATGTCACGCACAGGGACGTCCAAGCCCAAAAGCAGCTCAGCAAGGGGGTTGTGCCAAGGCTGTGCTTTTCCAGCCCTGAAGACAACTAAGACCTGGGCAAGCAGAGATAGGAGATGCTCTGCTAATGGCTGACTCCCTTCCAGCTCTACCTGGATGGGCCCTTTGGGGAGGGCCACCAGGAGTGGAACAAGTTTGAGGTGTCGGTGCTGGTGGGAGGAGGCATTGGGGTGACACCCTTCGCATCCATCCTCAAGGACCTGGTCTTCAAGTCATCTATAAACTCAAAGCTGCTATGTAAGAAGGTAAGAGGAAGCATCTGAAAGACAAGCCCTCCCAAGATGCCTCCTGCTGCTGCTGGCCTCTTTGGAGGTAAAATCCTCCATGGAACCCATGGAATTGTGTAAGGGTGCTGGCCGTCCTCTGAGCCTCATTCCCATGTGCCACAGATCTACTTCATCTGGGTGACACGAACGCAGCGACAGTTTGAGTGGCTGACAGACATCATCCGGGAGGTGGAAGAGTTGGACAGGAACAACTTGGTCTCTGTGCACATCTACATCACGCAGCTGGCCGAGAAGTTTGATCTGCGCACCACCATGCTGGTGAGCCTTGCCCCCACCAGGGAGGCTGCCGTGCCGTGCCAGGCTGTGCAAGGCCATGCTGGGCCATCTGACGTGCACCAATCTCTCTTCCAGTACATCTGTGAGCGGCACTTCCAGAAGGTGCTGAACAAGAGCCTGTTCACGGGGCTGCGCTCCATCACCCACTTTGGGCGCCCTCCCTTCGTACCCTTCTTCAACTCGCTGCAGGAGGTGCACCCTGAGGTCAGTGCCTGGCTGGGGACGGGGCACAGGAGGTGGTGTACCCACTGGCCAGTGGAGGACTGGTCCCAGCTTGTCCCCAGGGTCCTGGAGAGCTTGGTGGCATCTGCACCAAGACAGGGCAGAAGGGGCACCAATCCTGCTTTCCCTCCAGAGTCAGGTTGAGCTACAATAGTCAGCAGCGTCCCATGCTAGCCAAACACCCCCTGCTATTGCGGTATCCCAGCTGCAAGCACTGCCCAGGTCTCGGGACTCCCATCCTTCCTCCATTGTCCTCATAGCCTCCATAGCCACCACAGATTTAACAGCCCTCACAGAAATGACAGTCTTCCCAAAAGTCTCTGCAGGCTACAGAGAGCGCCACCATTGTCCATGCCCAAAGCTGTCAGAGGGCAAGGGGCCAAGGGGAGCTGGACTGCAAGGAGAGCTGGTGTTCCTGGATCTGACCCCTTTGGCTTCCCCCTTCCCAGGTGCAGAAGATTGGGGTGTTCAGCTGTGGCCCACCCGGGATGACGAAGAGCGTGGAACAGGCTTGTCGGCAGATGAACAAGAAGGACCAGGCCTACTTTGCACATCACTATGAGAATTTCTAACCCTACCCCATGCTGTTTCACCCTGAGCTGCAGTCTGGTCCATCCCAGCAACTGGGCAGCAATGCAGTGGGTGGCCATGGTCCCAGGCTTCCACCCACCATCACCCCCCAGAGAAAGCCATGCATGGCCAAGAGCAGGAACACTGAGACATGCAGAGCTGAGATTGGTGTGCCAGTAAAGCATTACCATCCCATCATCACCCCACATAGCCCCAGTGTGAGTCTCTGAGCCCAGGGCATACTGCTACGATCCACACACTGCTGCAGCCCCAAGCCCAGAGTTGGGCTGCATGTCCCAACTGAAAAACCACAGTGTTTGAGTTAAGTCCAATTCTGCCACATTAATCCCACAACACAGACCTTGTGCCTTGCTGTGGAACTCAGGGAATGTCTCTGACCAGCTTTGGGGAACAGCTTGGTGCCTGCACAACCTGAATTCACAGCACTTTGCCCCAAGACCCATGTGGAGCACACATGGGGTGAGGAGCCAAAGAGCTCCCCAACATCCCTCTCCTTGAAACAGGCTCAGTTTTCCGAACACACTCACGGGTGCCTGCTTGTTAGCTCTCTGAGCCTTTTCTGGGTTTGCAAAGGGCCTTAGTTGTGTTTGCGTTGGCTTCTTTCAGCAGCGTCACTGTCCTTCGATCAGGGATCACTTGTGCTTGTTTAAGTAATGCCTGGCTTTGCATCGCTGCCGCTCTTGCAGGCTGTGGTTGAGCTTAAATAAAGCTGTTCAAAGTATTAAAACACTTTCTTGCCTCTTGTACTTGTTTCTTGGTCCCCTGGAGATATGCCATACTCGTGGCACAGTGCTGGCCTTGCTCTTGGCACAGAGCATTAACTCCAGCTCACTGGGAAATGGGTTAAACTGGAGTGAGGGTCCCCTGCACTGGTGACATACGTGGGGTCAGGGGTGGGGGATACAGACACAGCCCCACAGACTGTGCCCCACCAGACCCATCACACCCTGCAATACCCCTGCAGTGTCCATGACCCCAGCACGACCTGGCAAGGGAGCAAATTAGCCAAAGAACCCAAACAGGCTGAGCCATGGGAATAGCTCCAGCCCTCCAGATTTTTAACAATCCCCTAAGAGCACAGGGAGCAAGCTTCCACTTTCCAGTAATAACAGACTGTTGTGATGGCCTGGTCCCCCAGGCTGGCTATGGGCCTCCCTCCAGCATGGGAGTCAGGATGGCCAGTGGTCCCCCAGCCATGCCAGTGGGAATCCCCCCAGCATTGGAATGTGCTGGGCACATACTTTGGCCATTTCTTCTGGCAACAGAAAGTTCCCTTGGGTTATGTCTCATCCCTGTAAACCTCAGCATTGACTTGGGGGCTTCCACCTCTGCCAGGATTAACTTGGCCACCTCTGGAATAAACATAAGTTTTGATTTGCAAGTTGTTGGATCATTTGAGGTCTCACAGTCTTGCCAACATCGAGCTCAACCTGTAGCCTGGCAAGGCCCAGGTCTGCACAGTCACCAGGGCCCAAAGTCAGAAACTCCTCCAACCCTGCCACCACACACTTAAAGGGACATACCAGGCAGGTCTCAGGTAGGCAGCATTTATTGAGGAAAGTTCAGTACCAGCCCAAGGAAGGAACTGATCTCTCAGTAGTAAAATTACATGACTGTAATCAAAGATTAGATTTTATCTGCAACCTGCTACCTTATTAGTACCTCATTCATGGCTCACAAACTCAGCAGGAAGGCCCAATATTCCCCCAAAAGTATGATTTGTTCGCAGTGGTAAAACCTTCGAATGATGCTGTCGCCTTATGGCTCCCCTGCGTTCCCCTCCATGCTAAAAGCAGCTGTGTCCTCCAACAGCAGCCCCTCCCGGGGAGCCACATGGGGACAGGGCCCTCAGCAGTCCCAGTTTCCCAGCCTGAAGTGGTCCCACAAGGAGCTACTAGGGGATGACACAGGAGTTGTGGTCCCTGCTGGCCTCCAGACCAGCTTCACAAAAACCCTGGGCTCTGAGCTGTGGGATATTTGCAAAGAGCATGGAGAGAAGACCCGAATATGTTGGTGCTCCCCTTGGAGTGGGGATGGCCAGGCTTTGTTCCACAGGTTGTACAATCCCTGAGCATCCCTGAGGGAAGGTGCAATAGGAAAGGGAAATATTCATATAGGGCTATCTCACATCCAGGGATTGTCATGCAGGAAGAGCTGCAGTGTGGGATGGGAAGGTGGAGTGCCAGCACGTCCCCCAGCACAGAGGAACCAGGTCAGGCTCTGCTGGGGGGCGGCTGAGGAAGAGCCAACTGTGAAAACCCTCATCTCTACCCCAACATCTTGATTCAAACTATTGGTTATCCATTCATAGCTATCTGTTAGTGCTCTAATGGTGTATCCCAGTGCCACTCACCCTCATCACCTTTTGATTTTCTAGGTACAAGAAGTACCTGTGCAAGGTGACCCCAAACATGCAACAGCCCCACATCAACCTCCTTCCTGCAGACTCATCCTGCGCATCCCAGGCAGGCTGGTGCAGTGGGGTGAGGGCCAGGCACTGCAGCAACTCAGGGACTCTGGTCAGTGGGGTCACACTTCAGCATGACTTTGACCCCCTCGCCCCTCTTGGTGGTCTCAAACGCCTCCAGAGCCTTCTCCAGGGGGAAGCGGTGTGTAACCAAGGGCTTGATGTTGATCCGCTTGGATGCAAGCAGAGCAATGGCCACGGGCCACCTGCAAGGGAAACAGCAGGGGATGAGAGCAAGCACTGATTTGGAGCCCAAGGAAAGAGCAGGGAGGAGCCTGATTCATTCCAGTTATCTCCTTAGCCCAAGCAGCCAAGGGGACTTTTGCCTGCAAAGAATCTTCTGGAGAGGGAATCTCAAGCATCCAGCATGGGAGATGGGACAAGCCAACTGAGCTGGGCTGCTAAGTGCTGAGGAAGCAGGCTCTGCTTCACAGACAATTGGCTGAGTAGGAAGCAAGTGAAAATCAAGGAAACAACTGCTTTGGAAGTACTGAAGGAAAACCAAACTGCCATGCTCTGCTCTCCTCTCACCTGGCCTCCTTGCTTGTACACTGACCACTGTGGAGCTCAAACTCATGGACTGAGTGCAGGAGAGGAAAGGAAAAGCCTCAGTCAGCTTCCAGCTTCTTCAGTTGGATTGCATTGCTGTTCCACTTAGAATCATAGAATCACTGAGGTTGGAAAGGACCTCCAAAGATCATCAAGTCCAACTACAGTCATGGAGTCCAACTAGGAATGGGCCAACTTAGAGCAATAGAGGTACAAAGGGATGCAGCAGCTAATCTAATTCCCAAACTGCCTAAAGACATTTTCTCATTTTAAGAAGGAGCTTGACAACATCCCATAAATTCTTCCTGGAGAGCTATAGATCAAGCAAAGATTCTTTCTCCACTGGTAAGAAGCTATAGCTCTGAATAATTCTAAAGACAAGCTTGGAGACACATGAGCCCACCCTGCATGAGACTCACGTGTTGCAGTAGCGGAATATCCCCCGGATATCCACCTCCCGCACGGCAGCATTCACAATGGGCACCGTCACCATCTCAGGTCCCAACCCCACGAGCACCAAGGTCCCACCAGAACGAGTGGCCTGGAGAACAAACACACAAACATGTTACATTTTGCAGAATGCAGTTGCTGGAGCCTGTGCAAGGTCTGTCAAAAATAAAGGCACATTTTGTGGCTGCAGTGAATGCAGGAGAAGCCATGGGAGAGGCAGGATGCAGTCAGGAGCCCATAAGAGTGAAACACACAGAAGGCCAAAAATTCAATCTTTTGAAAATATCTGAAAGATTCTGGTATCTAAATCTCATTCTGAAAAATGGCTGGCATTTAGGTCTGCGAAGAGTACTTTGGGATTTCAATAGGAAAGATTTAAAACTAAGCCTGGTGCTTCACTGGAATTTCTCTTTTTGCCACTTGTCCCATTCCCCTCCTGTCCTTTTCCTGTGAAGCTCCCCACTACCTTCGCCCCATCCTTTTGTTAGTATGTTCATGGCAGCAAAATATCCCTTCCTTAACTGCTTCCCTCACCTTCTGGAATTAATTTTCTTCGTTATTCTCCTTATTTGGACGCAACTTCAGCTTAACAGAAGGTGATGCCCTGTTCGTACCAGCTCCCTGCACAGCCATGCTTGGGTTTTGGGGTCTTACTGGGGTCTCTTTGGGAAGTAGTTTAGCATCTGAGCATCAATTATCAGTTATTCCCATGCCACCGTTAACTCTTCAACTGCCTCTGTTTGCTGTCTAATGAGCACCTTCTCTCCCCATACCAAGCCCAGTGAAATTAAGCACCATGAGAGTGAAGTAACTCATTCACTGCAGCATCCCAGACAAAACCAGACCAATGCCATCCCTGTTCTGCCTTGGGGACAAGTGGTACTCACGTAAATGCCAGCTTGAATGCAGGTCTGCACCCCTGTGCACTCCACAGTGATGTCGGGCATGCAGCCAAGCACACCTTCCACTTTGGAGGCCACCTCCTGCGGGGTCTCGTTCTTCACCTGAACGGTAAAATCTGCCCCCACCTCCTTGGCCTTTTGCAGGCGAGAGGCAGATAAATCTGGGGAAAAGTAAAACAAGGCAAAAAACCACCATTTTCCTTCCCTGGCTCTTCACATTACTTATTCCTACCCCCAAGGACACTTCCCAAAGGACACAAACCAGGGGCAAGGTTGCTCTGATCTTGCTCCTTGATGGCCCAGAAATCACCTGGGTGTGGACAGCACAGCACCAAGAAGCCTTTTGACAGGAGACCTCAAGCTCAGAGGATCATTAATGTGGTACCAGATGAGAGCAGACCACGAGGTCTCTGAGTGCTTCCTTAGAGAACCCTCGGCTGGTGCTTTTGGCTGAGTGAACTGCAGAAAGCATCAGTTGTCAGCACTACGTGTCTCTGCTGTCACAGACATCTCCTGCTTCTTTACCCTCCTGGTAACAGCACTGGAGACTGCTGAGCGTCTCTCAGACAGTTTCTGTCACAGATGAACGAACAGACAAGCCCATAAAGAAAAAAGAGAGTGGATCTGGTAATAGGGTGGACCTCAGACACCCCACGAACACAGGGCAACAAAGCTGGTGATGATAAACATCTGTGAGGGCATGGCTCGATTCCAGTACTCTGTCCTGAGGGTTCTTGACAGCACTGTAAATACCTTCTGAAAATCCACAGGATGGTTTGTACCATGAAGCAAGTTGCCCTGGTAGGCACTGTCTCTTCTCTTCCACATCCTGTGGAAGGAAGCCACCCATCCCTCTGCAGGCACCATTGGTGACCAGGACATCTCTGGAGATAAGAAGTTGGACAGCTAAGGAGTAGAGTGGCATTTCCCAGGCCAAAAAAACTTTTTGCCCTGCACTAAAACAGTAGTCTACAGGAGTCTGCAGGCTGGTACTGGAAATGATGGCTGAATCAAGAGCTGTAACAGCCAAGATTTCCTAGACCCAAAATTGAGGGGTGAACAGTGTCTCCTCTCAGATGTCCTGAGCCTGAAGACTCAGAAAACGATGCCTTTGCCATGGGCACACTCCTCTCTAGGACACACAGAGGGGAGCAAAACACCCCTCTCACCAGGGTACAGTCTTCAGAGAGGTCAGAGATGGGGTGAAAATATCAAGGGAAAAGAGAAGGAGGAAGAGGTCAGTGCTTTGACATGAGCCACTCTGACTCAGTCACATGCTGAGGAGGGAGCTGGGCCAAAGGTTCTACCTGCCCATCACACAGGGAACAGGATGGGACTCACTGGCAGGGCTGATGATGGACAAGACCCCACAGGCAGTGGGAGGGATTGGTATGCCAGGTGTGGGCACACCCACCAAGATGAGCACCCAGAAGAGCTGTAGAGGGAGTTTCAAGAATGGATAACAAAAGGGAATGAAATGTAGATGAAAGAGGAAAAGCTAAGGCTGAAAAGTAAGGGCAGCATCACCCTGGAAGCCTAAACTGAGCCTGGGCTCTCATTCCTGTGGCTGCAGGAGGATTAGTAAGGTCTGTCCCTCCCAAGCTCTGGGCATTGGGCTCCAGGCCATACGTATGGTCATGCTTGACCCCAGCTGAGCTGCACTCAGAGACCTTCTGTGCCCCAAGAGCATGGGCGGGGACTTTTGGAGGCAACCTGAAGTGATAAGAAACACTTCTGCCCAGCATGGTTGATGTCTCCTCAATCTGTGTATGCCAAGGAGACCACGGGGCTCAACAGTGCTCCCAGCAATGGACCCAATTCCCTGTGAAGTTTGGTCTCACAACACCAGCTCACAGCAGACACAGCTGGGCTCAGCCATTTTCAGTATCTTCCCAGTCACTAAAGTGTTTTAAACTGTCTCTCTGGCAGAAAGAATCCAGAGGCTTTGTCCTGGAGTGACAGGACAGCCAGTGTGTTTCAAAGTGGTCACAAAAATCACTCTCGGGCAGCAAAAAAAGCCTTTCACTGTAGTTGGCCTCTGGTTTGCTGACCTGCTCAGGAAGGAAGTCCTGGCTCAGAAAGGCACATGGAACCATCAGCCCTGCTCAAGACTGAAGTAACAACTCTGGCCTAAGTAAATCACCATGAAGTGCTTCCTGAAGCAGACAGATCTGTAGGTTACTGGTTTGTTCAGAGCTCCAGACACTTGTGAGTCTTGGGAGGGACCAAGCTGTTTGAATTTCAAACCTTACTAGGCCAAACCCCACACAGCTCTTGGGAAAATGATCCATTATACAGTTACAGGGCTGCATCTTGTCTCTAGTCAGAAATCTGTTTTCACTTCCTGGCCACTGCAGCTAATTAAAGTTTTGCTGCCAGAACAAGAGCAGCCCCGTGTCTCTGCTTCCAAATAAGTTATCAAATTACCTTTAAGCTTCTCATGATGGCTTATGAGCCAACTTGACAGCTAATTATTCTTGAAGCTCTCACACTCTTTGTGTTGATCTTCTTTCTCAATAGAGTTGAGCTCTGGACAGTTATTCATCCTCCCTGACCTTGACTTCTAGGGTTTCTGGAGGCACCACCACCCAGAACTTAGCGTTCAGATAGCACAAGAGCAATAATTTCCCTTAAATAGGAATTATTAAATGCAACTTTAGTGACAGACAGAGCAAGACAAGAGAGCCCAACACTGCCATTCAAACACCTAAGTGGTCCCTTCACTTTCTGGGCTTTTATGTGTTTCTAAGGGGAAAAGCAGCTTTTCGGAGCAGCAGCAAGGCAGAAGGACAGGAGAAGGTTGTACATAAATATCAATCACACCCACTCAGTAGTGGAGTGGAGAAAGACACAGACCTTTGTGAAGAGTAGATGAGGACCCAGGAAACAAATTGATCTTCTCATCCAGCTGGAGCCCGTTAAATACATCAAACACTCCAGGTGAAACAAAGACAGAAGCTACAGGAGATGAGTTCTCCCCAGGCAAGGAAAAAGCTTTTCTAAATATTTCTATATTTGTGAGCAGCTTGTCAAAATAAACACAAACATTTAAAGCCTTAAGTGCTGCACAGACAAAGCTCCTCAGACAAACACATCATAAAAATTCCGGGCAATGAATTCAAAGAACCTGATCGCAAAATACAAGAAGGGCTTTGTGGGCAGACAGGAATCTCATGGGTGTTGGCTCCTAAAGCTGACACAAAAAACAATTCCCTGAGAAGGGCAGCAAAATCCCAAGGGGCAACGAGCCAAACCAAACCCACTTCTCAGCTCATGTCATACACAAATAACTGACTTGGGACAGCACCTCCATGAGTGTCTTTCAGCAACTCTTGTGTGCAAGATGTGAGTCACAATCACTACCTAGACCAGCACATAGAGATAAGAAGGGGTAATTCCATGTATTCAAGCCTATTGACCCTACAAACCAGGCACCAGGAACTTTCTGTGGCCACTTGGAGTCTTGTGGCACATGATACCCAGAGCAGCTCACCCAGGGCCCCTCAGCAGCAGCCTATGGGCAGAGGTAGCAGCAGCTCGCAGTTACAGGGAAGATACACACAGGCAGGAGTGGGAATGGGGTGACAGGCTGAACCAGATGCCTCAGCCCCACTAACCCCTGCCAGCTCATCAAGCTCTTCCCCACCCAGGAACGGGGTCACCCCCAGCCCCTGCACCAGCCCAGCTGGGCAGCAAAGTTCCTCATACGTGATTCAGGAGCAGAGCTGTTTTTCCTGCTACAGCAAACACCATCCACAAATGACAACACTTCACAAAATCTGAGGTGTGGACTGATCCCGTCCATCAAGCACACACACCTTCAGGGTGAGGCCAGCAGAACTAAAAATGCCCTGGATTTGGCAGCAAGAGGATTAAGGGAGGAGAAGGCAATAATCTGCCTCGATTTTTGACCTGAGCTACTACTGAAGGATGTTTCTGCAAAGGCAAGAGGGTGGGACCTGAATTTTATCTCTTACCCCAAAGATGGAAACACAGTAGTCGAGAGCTCAAAAATACACCTGGCCCAAAGCATGGGAGTAGCAGCCTTCTGACAGGTCCAGGTTGGAGCTTTGACCCAAAAGCATTGCAGCAACCATTGCTCATTGTCAAGCAGCACCTGTAACTGCTCCTTCTGGTCATCACCACTCAGAAGGATCAGAGAGTTTCAGTGAGAGCTGGAGACACTAATTCCAGGCCCTACTCGAACCCCAGATGGAGATTTCAACCAGTGAACATCCTGAGGTTTCTCCAGCTCTCCCTTCTTTTGGACAAGCTACAGAGAGAGACTGAACCCTGGATGAGAGGTGCAGGCAGCTGGGCTGCCTTAGCATGGGATAAAAAGGGGAGATGTAACAGCTCTGCAACAACCTCAAGGGCAGCTGCAGAGGTGATGAAAACTCATTTCATCTCTTGCAGACAAGGGGAAATCCCCACAAATGACAGTTTGTGAGTGCACCCCAGGAAAAGCTTCCTCATTAAGAGGTGGTGCAAACTTGGAGTAGGTACCTTGAAAGATGGGATCTCCTTCCTCAGAGGTTTTCCAGATGCAGCTAGACAAAGACATTGCTGTAAGCAGCAGCTGGCCCAGAAACCTCAGTTGTGCAAGGAAGGCCCATTTCTGAAACGCAGGGACTCTGAAAAGGCCATTTCAGTCTATGTGGATAACCAGTGGAAAATGAAACCCCCAACTGGAGCAGAAAGAAGCACAAAGACAAGTGAGAAGCAGTGTGGCTGCACACAGAAAAAAACTGTGCAAACACTGTCCAGGCCATCACACAGCACCACCAGAGGAAAAAAAAAAATAACCTGCCAAAATCAAACCTCCAAGAATAGCCCCAAAAAGGGTATAAAATATATTGTGTTGCCTGGTCTGCGTGCCAGGGTGGACACTAGAACACTAGATATTATGAAGGTCTAAGATAAAGGCACTACAGGGAAGGTAAAACCTGATTGATTTATAATTTATAATTTGATTTATAAGCCAGAGCTAAAACACAAAGTTTTAAAAAGAGCTCAAAATGGAGAAATTAAAAGAAAATAGCCAGTGATCAGAGGTACCAGGAGCAAGCAGAGCTTATGAAACTCAGAGCTGACATACAGATGCACTGACTCTTCCAAAATACCTGCTCAAAGTCTGAAGAAGGTCTCTAGGCCTGATACACAGACCATTGATTAACCTCTTTATTCTGGATTGTTCTCCTTGAGGCTACTCCACCCACACAACTTGTCCATGCTGGGATTCAGGAGTTATGACCCTGGTCCTCTAACCCACCAGAGGAGTTGCAAACTGCATCTTCTTGGAGATCCCAATTAGGGCAGAGATAAAAGCCTTGTCCCAGGGAACAAGAAGTTTAGCAGGATTCCCTCCAAACAGGCACATGCTACTACTCCAGTCACAAACAGATTTGCCTGGGCTGCCTTCCCCAGCAGCAAACTTGAAGGAATAATTTGGAACTAGTCAACGTGCTGAAGCACATCCAGAGAAGGGAACAGAGCCAGGGAAGGGTCTGAAGCACCAGGAGTGGCTGAGGGAGTTGGGGGGCTCAGCCTGGAGAAAAGGAGGCTCAGGAGGGACTTTCTCGCTCTCTGCAACTCCCTGACAGAAGGGTGGAGCCAGATGAGGGTAAGGCTCTGCTCCCAGGGAACAAGGGACAGGACAAGAGAAAAGGGCCTCAAGTTGTGCTAAGGGAGGTTTAAGTTGGATGTTAGGGAAAAATATTTTCCCTGGAAGGGTGGTCAGGCATTGGAACAGGCTGCCCAGGGAAGTGGTGGGATCACCATTCCTGGAAGTGTTCAAAAAAAAAGTGGATGTGGCACTTACGGACACAGTTGGGCTTGGCAATGCTGGGTTAATGGTTGGGCTTGATGATCTAAGAGGTCTTTTTCAACTTTAATGATTGTGTGATTCTGTGAAAGTGTTGTATCATGGGAAAAAGGCACACAAGGAATATAAGGACTTACCTGTGACCACCACGGCAGCTGCACCCATCATCTTAGCAACAATCACATTAACGAGGCCAATTGGTCCTGGGCAAGAGGGGATGAAAGAGAACATGTACCACTGCCAGGCAGCACCAGCCACAGGCTCTGAACACTGAACCCGGAGCCCTGCATGTTCCTGGGCTAAAGGAGGCTCTGGCAGCCTCAAGGTCCCCCTTGGAACCCCCAGAGCTGTGCCATGACCCCCACTGACAGCAGAGACCAGGAGCTCAGCCTGAGCCCTGCCCATTCCCTCTCAGTAGACAGGGAACCAAAGGACTGAATGCATTCACCATACCAGAGCCAGACACGAAGACTTTGCTTCCCAGAGTGACTCCTGCTCTTTTACAGGCATGGATTCCCACTGACAGGGGCTCGATAAGGGCTCCTTCTTCAAAGGTGACGTTATCTGGAAGCCTGCAAGAACGGGACACAAGCAAAGAGGTTTATGAGGGTGATAAAGAAAGCCATGACACTTGAAGACCTAACATGGGTGTAAATCAGTGGAAAAAAAAAATTCTCACCCTTGGTAAGAAAAATGTCAGGCTGGAATGTCTTTCAAGAGGTTCTATTGCCTGTTTTTCTCCTCTGAAGCAGCATCAAGTGCACCTAAACCAGTGAGGTTTGCTCAAGCACCAAACACAGGGACCCACAAACTTCCCCACATCAACTCTCCAGCACTTGATGAGTGAACCCAAAGACTCCTTTGCCACTCATTCCCTTTGGAATAAACTCCCCAGTTGCATATGGACCAAACCCAAGGGCTGCCCCATGGCTAGGACCCACCAGCGAGATCCCAGAACCCTCACCCGTGTTGGATCATTCAGCTCCATACTTTTAGAAAATGTCTGGCTGCCAAAGGTGATGCCACCAGGAAAGGCAGGCAGGTCCAGGTCTCCCCATAACACCTGGTATCTCCTCCCCTGATACACCAAGTGTTTTAAACCAGAGGACTGGTTCCAGCACACACTCTCCCAGCAGTCTTTAGACAGAAACAGCCCCATCATGCAGCCAGTGTGAGTGACGGAAAAAGGCAGAGAGGGGTGAAACCCTTCTGAACTGCTGACAGAATAAATCTCAGCCCCACAATGCTGCCCACCAGGGAGCCACCAGCATGGGCTCCTTAACAGAGAGTGCTGGGAGCTGTGCCTGCCAGGAGGTTTTTTCTGACAGCCCTGGGAAGGTCAAGGTCAGATCTCAGCCAGGACAACATGAAGCCAAAGGAATGGATATGATGGTTATGGGAAGACAGCTGTAAGATATCTGTATGTCCCTTATCTCCAAGAGGCTTTAAAGGTCTGACTCCAAGAGTTCATCTGTCACAGAGTTCGGCATCACGTTTGCTCCTGTTGGATCTGGGCACTGCCCTGTCAATAGGGAGAGCAGGTTCACAGTATGATCCCACCTTCATCAAGTTACTTGGAGTATCCAACAGGGAGTCTGCTCACCAGCAGGACAGACAATAACTGCCCAAATGTGCAAGAGCCCACTGAGCTCAGCCATCAGCTGTTTCTAGCAAATCTGTCCTGGCAGAGCAGCTTCATGCCAGGGAATCTGCTCTGCATCAGCCAGCCACAGCACTGCAGATCTGAAACCAGGAGCACCAAGTCCAGGCTTTGCATTTCAAAGCTCAAAACCAAAATAAGATAGCCAAAATTATATTTACTCAAATTGGAGAAAAAAAGCGCAAAACCCAGGAAGAAGACAGCTACAAACCAGCCATGCTCTCCCATGCAAAAACTTGTGATGTTGTCATAAAATGTTAACACACAGGAAATCAGTGACAGTGGGTCTGGACAGTGAGATGTTAGTCCCATCCAGAGCAGCACCTCATCCTGACAGAAGCTGCTTGAGATATGCTTTGAAAGCTTCCTGCCTTAGGACTCTCAGGAGAAGAGCAGTCAAGTGCCTCCTTCCAACCGCTGCAATCCTGAATGCTCCCTGTGCAGATACCAAGGATCTTCCTGCTCATGGAAGAACCCCCCTGTACAGACTGAGAAAGAACATGGTGCACAGGTAGAGCAGTCTCAGGGGGCCACTATTTTTAACTGGGCTATTTTTAACTCCTTGTTAAAGGCACTTATGTGGGTATAATATTGCAGAGGCCTTTTCAGGTTTCCAGAGTATATAAGGCCCTGGCACAAGTTGTCCAGGGAAGCAGTGGCTGCCCCATCATCCCTGGAAATGTTCAAGGCCAGGCTGGATGGGGCTCTGAGCAGCCTGAGTAAGTGGAAGGTGTCCCTGCCCATGGCAGGGGGATGGAACAAGATGAGCTTTAAGGTCCCTTCCAATCCAAATCATTCCGGGATTCTATGATTTGCCAGAGCGTTTAAGCACAGATTTGCTTCTAAGCAAATGTGTCAGTCCTGCCACAACTGATAACATTCTCAGGTTTGCTGAACTGGATATGAAAACAGATGTGTAATGCTGGCAGCTTACTGGGGACACTCAGAGTCACACAAGAAAAACAGCTCAACAGGGCCACTGCTTTTTGTTCCTGCTCTGCTCCAAGTGAGATGACTTTGTTTCAAATGACAGAGCAAGGTGTCAGCAGTCACCACGGTGTTTCCTGAAAAGCAGCAGCAGCAAAGCTCAGCCCAAAGAACCAGACAAAGACCTTCAGGCACCAGCCTAAGAGGGCAAGGATATAAAAAGACAGCAGAAAACAAACCAAGAGCAGGGAGCAAATGGGAAAAGGGAAATAATTAAAGGGTAAAGCAGCAGTGACATCCCGGAAGACAAGCAAGAAATCTTTATGTCTGGCACCAGAGGGGATAAACTATGCCTGCCTGACAAACCCTTTGTAAAATGGCTGCCATCCAAGCTTAGACACGTTATTTATGGATCAGAAGGCAACAAAACCTGTTGGGAATCACGTAAAGAGTACTCAGAAGGGCCAAGAGGTGATTGCTTCCCCCAGGGAGTGTGTATTTCCCTACAGAGTGAGCACAGACTAACTTGTAGCAGTAGCTGGCACTGTGCTTGTAGTAGCGGCACAGATTCCCATCATCGGGGGGGGTCGCACAAAAGAAGATCGTTGGGGACAGGTTGTAGCGTCCAGTTTTGCAGAACTCATCCATTTCCCTCGGGACACCCGGCTCAATGGCCACACGGTCACCTGCCAGGGAAAGGTTATGTCAGTCAGGGAGAGGGTGGCACACAGGTGTGACTAGCACCAAAAAACACAGGAACCCTGGAACAAGAGAGGCATGAGAGACCAGGGCAACCTGATGTAGTGAAAGGTATCCCTGCCTATGGCAAGGGGGTGGAATGAGATGAGCTTTAAGGTCCCTTCTAACCCAGACCAGTCTATGATTCCATGATTATTTAATTGCAATCATGAGGCAATTATGTTTTCTCCATACTAGAGAAAACAGTGTGACCACAGTACAACTTGCTAGTACACAAGGGACAGAAACCAGCCCATTTATTGGGAAAAGGAAGTCAACTGGAGCCAATCTCTGAGTGAAGCTCCATCAAAGGCTTCCAGCCAGACATGGTGACAAGTACGAGAATGGACAGAAGCAAAGAACCATCTAGGCCCCAGCATCGCCTCAGAGATGGCCTTGGGGGATGTCTGGGGGTGAGAGGAGCAGGACACACACATTCCGGATGCTCTCACAGCCTCACAAGCTGTATGAGGTTTGTCTGTATTTAGTAACACTGAACAATTTCTCCTCGTCTTTCCACTGTGTAAACTACCTGGTCTGCTACATCTCAGTGTATGTGGTTCTGTATGTGGTTCTGACTGCCCCTTCTCTTTTATTGGAGGAACCAGAGAGCAGGGAAGCTTTATATGGCCTCTCCCTGCCCCTCATGAGTCCTCAGACCTGTGCCACACATCCTTGAGTTGTCTCTCAAGCTCCCAGCTAAAGTTCCTTACTGAGACGTGTCACAGAAATGCTGCTCCACATCTCGTCATCTCCTTGTCCTCCTTTGTCCTCACCTTTTTATATCCCTTTGGAAAGAAGGAGACTGGAACTGCACAGAGAATCCAGATGGGCACTGATGTCCTCTGACTGAGTCTCTGTACCTTTCCTAACAGTGCTTTGCATTTTTCACCATTGCTGGGGCAACACTCCCACGCTCAGTGTCAGAGCCAAAGGTCTCACCCCTCAGCAGTGAGCATTTTTGTTACGAAGCTGGTTTTGTTTCTCCTGGTGTGGACATCACTTTATGTTTACCTGCATGGAATCTCACCTGGACCTTAAAAGCACCTCTCAAGTCTTGCTGGCTCTCCTGCATCCTCTCCACCCCGCCTAAGTTCCTCTCATCAGCAAACTTTGCAAAATTCCCTGCTCAGCCCATTTTCTAGGACATTCAGGAGCACAGGGAGCAGTGGAGGTCACACCACAGGGCCTGGAGCAGTTACTCCAGTGACCTCTCTGCACTGCAGAAGGCCTTTTGCTACTTCAAGAACACACACAGAGAAGAAACATTAACAGCAGGTTGCTGGCAAGAGCAAGGTGTGTGGTTTCTGAAGCTTTATCAAGCTTCCTTAAAAGGCACCTTATACTGGTATATGCTCTACTCTGCATTAAAATACAGCCAGGCCAGCTCAAGATATCCCAGGATAAAGCTACCTAAGGAATATCATATACCACAGTGGCCAAGCTGGGTGATTAATAGCAGCACAGTGACATTTTGTGAAGGAGAATGTCACGCTGTGACCTCAAACTCCCAGATAAATTTATATGACCTAAAGAAACCCAGCCTGCTATGGACACATTTTTGGGAACTGATTAGCAGGAAAACCAAACAAAGAGTTTTGGCTGCAGATACCTGGTTTCAGATGAGTCACCCCTGAGCCCACTTTGACGACTCTCCCGGAAGCTTCGTGCCCCAACACCATGGGGTCCTTGACGACAAAATCTCCAATCCGGCCGTGCTGCCAGTAGTGGACATCAGACCCGCAGATCCCAACGGAATGCATGCGCAGGAGGACCTCTACCAGAACAGCAGGAAAAGCTCTTTGTAGAAAACTCACCTTCTCAGGCACTGGGAGAGCAGCACATGGGCTGGCGCTGGGCCCCACCACAAAGGCCAAGCCAGTATTGACACATTCAAATTTACTGGCAGCAAATAAATACACCAGAACGGCACATTCACACATTCATGAGCCATGAAATAATAAACTATGCATGCATTCACAAACCAGGAAGCATTAAAATATGGTAAGACATGTCAACAAAAAATATGGTCCACAAAATAATACATTTTAAGAGGGGCATGACTATTGCTGGAGCAGGAATAAAAGAGCAAGTCCATTTAATTTTTCCTTCTCCCTAAGCTGTGATTTCAGCCCTGGAGAGTTAGTGAATCAAATTTCTATCAGCTCATATGCCCACCCTATTAATATTTAGTCCTGCAATAAGATCATCTGACATGTCCCAAGAGCCATTTAATGTGACATACATGAACTGATGGAACAGGAAGCAGAGAAAGCCAGATAAAGGCTATCTGTGACTGCTCCAGCTCCTCTTTTCAGCTGGAAAAGCAGCACTATCTGTTTCAGCCACACAGTCTTTTTCAGACTATTTTATACTTTCTCTGAAATATTTCATATATATATAAATGAATGAGAAAACCAAGAGATTAGTAAAGAAAGCAGAGAGAAGCATCATCTGTAGACCTACCATTGGGACCCGGTTCTGGGACTGGACGAGTTTCCTATGGACAAAAGAAAAAAAAAAAACAAACCATTTAGCTGCTTGTACATAGCCCTGGGAATACCTTGTGGAAATCCAGCCCAAGTTAGCTCACGTAAATCCAGAAGCAGATGAGGGGTTTGGTCCTGGCTGCTCAGTAAGACCCTGTTGTGCAATGAGGACCTTCCTCTTAAGCTCAGCTCATTTTCCAGGCTCAGGTGAGGATTATGGGATCTGTTCTGAGTGACCAACTGCCAGTTTGGAAATCCATTCTCCAAACTATTTTGTAGTACATTTCCCTTCCCTGCCCAGACAAGAGCCACATACTAAACTTCTCTGCCCCAGAGCAGCCTCAAGCTTCAGTTTAATCCATCATCCCTGAAGGCTGACCAAAAAAATCACCTGTAACCAGGAAAATTCTGAACCACCTCTTTCTGTAAAGCCTTAATATTGTGGTGATTATGTTATTATTATAAATAATAGGAAATATTTTTAGTACAGAATCACAGAATGATTTGGGTTAGCAGGGACCTTAAAAATCATCAAGCTCCAATGGAAGGGACACCTTCCACTAGACCCGGTTGCTCAAAGCCCCATCCCACCTCGTCTTGAACACTTCAAGGGATGGGGCAGCCACAACTTCTCTGGGCAACCTGTGCCAGGGCCTCACCACCCTGTTCCACTGATACATAATTTATACATAATATTTATGCATAATAATGTATACATAATAATTACATAATTATTTATAAATAATAATGTATAAATCATCTTTAAACTTTACTCTAAATCCCACTTCAGGTCGTGTCCTCTTGTAATTCTCATGGCACCTCTTTATGGGATGAACAAAGTTAGAGTTAGGAGAGTTAGAGAGTTGTCACTTGACCCCAAGTCACCCTTCCACCCAAAAGATCTGCAGGCATTTTGCCTTCACCAAGCTCCCTCAGCTGCATCAAAACCCAAAAGGAATCATCTTATTGGGTTTTACAGCACCAAGCCACTACAACACCCACTGAGCATCCACCTCAATGATCATGTCTCTAAGAAAAGCCCCCCCAAAGTAGTGCCAACAATGAACCCGTCAAAATCCATTTGCTGCTCAAATTTTGAGGAGCACTGTTCTGCATTTTAACTAATTAAATACATTTCAATCCCAACATATTCCTCAATTCCGACTTTGTACATCATCATCACAGAAAAAGAAACTCTGGAAACACATTGAATTGTTCTCATACAATTCAACCAACAGAAATTTTCCATGTGCAGGCCTCTTATTCCCCTCCACTTATCGAGGAGCAACAAAAGAATTTTTGTGTTTGCCTGGGAGGTGTTGTCACCCTCAACAGGGTCCCTCTGAAGCTTCTTCCACATCCCAAAGTCACAACTCTATTTCTGACCAACTAGATCAAAATGTTTTCTCTGAAACTGAAAAAGGAATTTCTAAGGCACCTGTCTAAGATCAGCAAGCACCTTTGACAAAGTTAGAAAAAGAAATCAATTAATTAAATTAAAGCAATTAAAAAAGAATACTAACTGTAATAACAACACCTTAACCATAAAGGCACCATCCTGTGATAGCCTTATCTCACTGCTGAGTCAAAGGGACCTTGAGTGTTAGGCCTGTGCAAGATAGTGACCTATCATTGGACCTGAATTAGGATAAAGCTCAGCAATTCTATGGAAGAGCTCCATGTGGGACCAATTAGATTCTGAAATAATAACCCAACTGTCCAGGCAGATGGGTGAGGACAGGAGAAGGCCCTGAGAGGCTTTGTGGCTGCTGGTTATAAGCTTTTGCAGCATTGTGTTCTGGTTTCAGACCTGTATCTGTAATTTTAATATGGGGGGGGGGGTGTTTTGTCCCACTGAGGAACACAGTGAACAAAATAGTCCATGGTGAGAGATAAAGCCAACTTCCAGCTGAAGACAGGTGTGTGTACAAAAAAGAATACTTTTTTTTTTTCCCAGTAACAGCTGTGCCTAAAAAACCCAGACACCTTGGTGGGAAGTCAATCCTCCAGCCTGATTTGTAGAAAATAGGAGTGACCAAACCAGAGAACACCAGAGACATAAGTTCTGCTATTGTGTGGTGTTCACTGAGAAGTTAAGAAATGGTGACTGGTAAACGAAATGCAGCAAATGTTTTCTGTGAAAGGAGACAGGAAAAGAGAGGCCACAGTACAAATATAAAACAAATAAATCCCCACCAGGAAGCAAACAGGAGCCTGAGCCTGTGGCAACCACCCAAGGGCAAGAGGAGAGTCAACAAAAACAAAGTCAATGCATTTTCACATAGGGCAGGGGTCACAGTGACTCTCCCATGGGAAACATGGCCAAGAATCAAGAAAGGTGTGGGAATTGCGGGAAAATGGTCTCACCCAGCTTTAGGTATCAATAATAGATAACAAGTTGAGAGCTCACTGTGGAGACTCCTTCCATGACCAGTGGGTCAAAAGAGTGAGCACCATCCACACTGTGGCAAAGAAACTTTAGGGAAGCCCAGGAGGATGACACCAAGGGGCTGCCAGTGAGGCAGGGGGGCACTGGTAACCAGCTCCAATGTCAAACATCCCAAGGAAAAGTCACACGTCTGGGTGTAATCCAATTTAGAGACCAGCAACACAGATGTGATGGAGTCAGTGTCCACCTCACAAGTGTCACAAATCTTGAAAACGTTTCTTGAAGTAAAGGGACCACCTCAATCCTCAACCCATATTTATTTCTTTTGGCAGTCAGGCTCCATGTGCTTGTACTGAAAGTGCAATTGTGTCAAAGGTGCCTGGGAGCTGCACATGAACCACCCCCACAGACACCACTCAGACTCCAGCACATGCAGCTTGGGCTGGGCAGGAATGGTGAAAAATCAACCGCTTCCCTGATAACCATCCCCCAAACAAGGCACTGCAGGTATCCAAAGTCTATGCTCTCCTAAGAGCCCTTCTGCAAGGACTCTGTGTACAGAAAGCTGCCTGCCAATGTTTGCCCATGGAAATCTTCCTTCCCCCATTTGGCACTCGTCAAACTGGTAAACACACATCCTCAACAGCGCCATGATGATTCAGCAGCCAGGAGGAGCTAATTGTTCACAATGAGAGAAGCAGAACGAGCCTGAAGTACTTTAAAAGTACAAAATACCCCCCCCACACACACAAACACACACCGTGCAGGAGGGTCCTGCAGCACCTGCTCTCTCTGAGTCCTCTGTTCTGCTCCTCACCTGGGCTCTGACAGCTCAAAGCAGCTACAACCACCCTCCATCCCTGCTCCCTGGGAGCATCTGTCTCAGCTGTGAGAATGGTTTGTTGGGGAAAAAATGGAGATTTCAGGGATTCTGGCTATCAGGGATATGAGGTTTTCCACTCAAACGGAATTAGCAAGTATCTAAAGAAGATTATCCCCTCCAGTGTCCCTTAAGAGCATTCTGCAGCTGAAAGTTTTCCAAGCTTGGAAAACCAGCAGAAAACGTACAGGCTTTTTCATGCAAAGTTGGCAGAACCATCTGAAAATAGACCTTTTTTTCTAATAGTATTGCACCTTCCTGCTTGTATGAATGTGTGTATCCACGAATTTATTTCTCCGGCAAGAATGTTTCACCTTCCAGGCACACGAGGGCAGGTGCGTTTTCCTTTCCCTCTCCGGGTCATTCCCTGTGCCGCTGTGAGGAGCCCAAAGCTGCCATACAGGGACTGGGGCTGCAGGGGCCCCAACCACGGGGCACCCCCACCCCCAGGAACGTGGAAGCCGCTGCCTTTCACCGCGCGCAGCCCGGCACCGGGGGGACCAGAGGGGAAGAACGGGAGGGACCGAGTTGGCCGGACACCCCCAAGTGCGGGGGCTCAGCCCCGAGACCCGCGGGAGCTGACGCCGGGCCCCCCGCCCCGCGGCCCCCGGAGCGCGGCCCCGCTCCCGCCCGGCCCCGCCGCCCCGGCAGTACCAGCCGCAGGTCCCCGGCTCGGTGCACGACCACGGCCACGTTCTGCCCCGCCGCCGCCGCCATGGCTCAGGCTCGGCGCGGCACCGGGTCCAAGGGCCGCCGCCGGGGGGGGCCGCCCCTGCCCCGGCCCCCGCCCGCCCGCCCGCCTGCCGGGGCTGGCGCCGCCCCCCGGGCACCGACCGGGTACGGACGGGACGGGGACAAGGACGGGGGACCGATCCCGCTCCAGGCCCAGCCACAGCCCCAACCGCGGCTCCAGGCCTCAGCTCCAGCCCCGGCCCCAGCTCCAGCCCCTGCTCCAGGTCCTGGCTCCAGCCCTGACCTCCGGCCCCAGCCTTTCCTGCAGCCCCAGTTCCAGGCCCCAACTCCAGCTCCTCCAGCTCCAGCTCCACAGCCAGTCCCAGCTCCAGACTTAGCTCCAGCCCCTGCTCCAGGTCCAGGCCCTGACCTCAGCTCCAGACCCTGCTCCAGGCCCTGGTTCCAACCCTGAGCTCCAGCCCCAGCCCTGCCTGCAGCCCCAGCTTCAGGCTCCAACCCCAGCCCCTGCTCCACCTCCATTCTCATCCCCATTCCCAGCTCCATCTCCAGCCCCTGCTCCAGCCCTGGCTCCAGGCCCACATCCAGATCCAGTCCCAGCCCCAGCCCCAGCTCCAGCTCCAGGCCGTACTGGTGGTAACACTGCACCCTGCACTTTGACTAAAATCCAATAAAGTACTGGTCTGTGGGCTTACCTGGACATGGCATCATAGGAGTGTGGTTGTCTCAGCTGCTAAAATGGCTCATTGGGGAAAAGAGGGGAGTCTTCAGGGGTTCTGGTTTTGAGGGATGAGGGGTTTTCCACTTAAATGGAGTTGGTCAAGATCTCAAAAAGATTATCCCCATCAGTGTCATAGAATCATGGAATATCCTGAGTTGGAAGGGATCCATGGGGATCAACAAGTCCAGCTCCTGGCCCTGCACAGGACACCCCAACAATCCCACCCTGTGCCTGAGAGTGTTGTCCAAACACTCCTTGAACTCTGTCAGCCTTGAGGCCGTGACCACTGCCCTGAACAGCCTGTTCAGTGTCTGGCCATCCTCTGGAGGAAGAACCTTTTCCTAAAATCCAACCTATACCTCCCTGGACACAGCTCCAACCTTTCCCTCAGGTCCTATCCCTGCTCATCAGACAGAAGAGTATTCTAAGAACATTCTGCAGCTGAAAGCTTTCCAATTTTGACTTCCTTGGAAGAATGGAAAATATACAGGATTTGTCATGCAAAGTTGCCAGAACCAACTAAAAATAGCCTGTGTTTATTTCTTCCTCCTCATTGCATGATTGGGTGTATCTATGAATTTAGTTTCCGTATAACAATGTTTCACCTCCCGGTTACATGAGGACTATGTGGGGTTTTTTTCCCCTTTCAGCATAATTCCCTGGAAGACTTATCAGTCAGAATCAGCATCAAATCAGTGCATGTGAGCCACTCCTGTGGTTACTCTGAGGGCAGGGGAAGTGTGTGTGTGAGGGAAGCTGTGACAAAACACCTTACTCAGTGTTTACACAACAACGCAATTCCCGCCAAATCCATTGAAGCAGCAATATTTGTGTTTTATGGAATGGACATCTTTTCCTAGACATGGTTGTTTTCTCAAAAAACAACATGTTGCCTCTCCTTTTTAAAATGTGTTTGACTCCAGTCTTAACTTGCCACACTAATTATCTGTGTGGGATTCACCATGATATCCTGCACACAGCACCACACAGCTGGACCCTTGGGCTCCCTAAACCTGAAGAAACACTGGAAGTATGGCCTAGGAGCTCCACTGGGAACTCAGGGCTCTTGCTGTGATCCAAGTCCTTTGGGTTCTTGTGTCAGTTTTGCTCCCCAGGTGCATTGCAGGGTGTCAAGAGCTCCACTGGAAGCTGTCACAGGAATCATCTTCATCTTCTGCAGCACTAAATCCTGTGTTCCTCATGGACTCTCTTCTGCAATATTGCTGATCTACAACTAAAACCCTGAATAAGCAGAGTTTCCTAGAATTAATCATGGCTGGGGATGCATAGGAAGCTGTCCATTCCCATGCAGCCTTGTTCCTCCTTTCCCAAGGGAGATTTCTCACAGGCTCAGTGGTTGCTCTGGATAACTTCTCTCCATTTGAACTCCCTACATTTTCTGAAGCCCAGTTGCAGGCTGCATTGCCAAAGCTGTACTGGTTCCTTGCATGCAGCTGGGATTTCCTCGGTGGGTATAACTCAGACCAGGCTGATGGCAGGTGTGTTGGGCAGCCCCCCAAAATATGTGTTTCAACCACCACATGGTCTGTCTTGCTGTGAAAGTGGCTTCTGTGCACACCAGGGAGTGCTCTGGAGAACCAGCTTGGGCTGCTGGTTTTCCCAGGGTGTCACTTGACAGGGAAGGGAGACATGTTTGAAGTGCTGTCTTGTCCCTACTGGCTCTTCTCAAGATGCAGTGATGCCAACATGGCCCTTTGTCTGCAGCCTCTGCCCCTGCCCTGCAACAAGAAGGGGAGGAGGGAGGTTACTTACCAACCTTTGGGCAACAAGTGGCTTTTTGCTGGGGCAGGGGAACTGGTTCCTTCAGCTATTCTGTTCCTCCCTGCCATGACTGTCTTTGCCTTCAGTTTCCTCCCCTTCTCTTTCCCGCATCCCTTCTGAATCACATCCCCATCACGTTTCTCATCTGTGTTTTCCCTGCTCGCATTTCCTGGCTGGCAGCTGTCTCCAGTGTGCTGACTGGGCCTGCTCTTGCATCAGGATCACAGGGACTTCACCAGCCGCTACAAGTCCTCTGAGATCTTCATTTCAAAGATGTTTGGAAGCATTTGCCATGGTCCATTTCTCTTTGTTTGCCTTCAGCTCTGCCTGACAGGCCCTTTTGACTGTCAGCCAAAGACAAACCATACTTAGCACTTAGCCCTAATTAATTTCTCTTTCATTTATGTGTGTGGGCATCCAGCAACCACAGAGGCCGTACATGTTCCTTAAGGCACAGAATAGCAGTGCTGTGGTGATTATGGCGTAGCCACAGGTGGCCTCGTGCAGAACCCTTCCATTTTACATTAACTCAACCAAAATAAATGTTTGCCTGTTCAGTCAATGATCAGGGTTGTGGCATCACTGGGTAAGGAGATAGGTACTTTGTTGACTTGAAAATAACTCAGTTTACTCACAGCAGTCAAATTCAACATGTGTTTTCCTTGTTTGCAAGTTATGAAACACCTCTCAGAACTAACTCAGTGAGGAGAGGCTTGGCAGGACCTCAGGCTAATGCATCGCCATGTCTTGGTGGATGAACTCCCCCAAAATAGAGAACACTGGAGGTCATATGCCCACCAGTTCTCCATAGAGGGTGAGAACCATAGAGAGTTTGGACCCCAGGATCCTTGTGGTGATCCTTTAACATTCCCACATGCTAGAGCAGCCTCAGGTTTCATGTTGGCTGCCGGGTCCTGTGTGGAGCAGCCAAATATCTGCTGTAAGTTCAGATGTCAGTGCAAGCCTCTGTCTGGTCCTAAATGCAATCAAAGGGCTAAATTCTCTGTAGCCTGGGCCAAATCTCTTCAGCTCTATGAGCTCGCCATCTCCATGCACAGCTCAAGCAGGACTTACATTGGAGGCAGACACTCCAATGTAAGTCCTCCTCCCCTTAGTTCCCCTGTAAAGAATTTTCACATTTGCCTGGGAGGTGTTGTTACCCTCAACAGGGTCCCTCTGAAGCTTCTTCCACATCCCAAAGTCACAACTCTATTTCTGACCAACTAGATCAAAATGTTTTCTCTGAAACTGAAAAAGGAAATTCTAAGGCACCTGTCTAAGATCAGCAAGCACCTTTGACAAAGTTAGAAAAAGAAATCAACTCATTGTTATAGTACTAACTATGACAACAGCACCTCAACCATAAAGGCACCATCCTGTGATAGCCTTATCTCACTGCTGAGTCAAAGGGACCTTGAGTGTTAGGGCTATGTAAGATAGTGACCTATCATTGGACCTGAATTAGGATAAAGCTCAGTAATTCTGTGGAAGAGCTCCAAGTGGGGCCAATTAGATTCTGAAATAATAACCCAACTGTCCAGGCAACTGGGTTAGGGCAGGAGAAGGCCCTTGGAATCTTTGTGGCTGCTGGTTATAAGTTTTTGCATCATTGTTGTGTTCTGCATCAAGACTTTCATCTATCCCTGCACATACGTGCCATCCCTCCCTCCACCTCTTCTGCAGAAACCATTATCTTATCAGTGAGGTATTTACTAAACAAGGAGTTATGTGTACACTCCGATTTGCAATTTCCACAGAAGCCATCTTCAGTACTGACTTCCTTGTCCACACCTGCTGGCAGCTCTTCCTGCTACTAAGTCATAACACCTCTTATCATCCCAACAACTAATATTTAACGTGTTTGTCCCCAGAGAGGCACTGCTAATGAAATCATTTGAAATGTTCTTCTGAGATAAACATTTAGGGACAACATGCTAGATTTTTAAGAGCATGAAGGCAAATATGTTCCCCCTTCCTGAGAGAGGTGGTTGTTCCCTTCATGTCAACCATCATGGCAACCAGTCTGTCTCCAAGCCCGAGGCAGGACAGAAGCCCAATGGCTGACAGTCCCTTGGGACCATGTGTTTACCCTCAGAAATATGGAGCTCAAAACCAAACTCTTTTGCAAAGGAACTTTGTCTGAATGGCAGCGGTGGATCTGAGACGTGTGTTGTGTGGCTGACACTGGGACAGGTGTCCACCTATTTTTTCAGTATACTCTCCTGCAATATCCTGTAGCAGAGTGAGTCACCTGGAACCTGGGCGGCCGTGCCAGTGCAGGGTGCACACTGACAGAGTCATCCGGAGGAGTTTGGTGGAGTTTGGGATTTTGAAGTCAGGGTGACAACCCAGGGTATTTCTGCTTTCCTTTGTGAGTAACTCCTGCTCTACATGCCATCAAACACCCCTTCTCCATTCTCCCAGATAGATGTGGTTAATATAACAGGTTTACAAGCAGCAAGATCTTCTTAATCTATTTTGATGCCTCCCATACCTCTTCCTTGCTCCAATGTTGCCACCCCAAAAGCAGGTTAATAGAAAAAGATTCTTCACCAGAGGGTGGT